AATATAATATAATATAATATAATATAATATAATATAATATAAAAAAATATATATACAGGGCGTCCCGAAAATGTCTCGCAATCCGGAAATGGGAGGTTCCTGAGGTCATTCGAAACAACTTTTTCCTTTGCGAAAATTTTCTCCGAGGTTTCGTTTACGAGTTATCAACGAAAAACACTGACCAATAAGAGGCGAGCTCGGCTGACGCGCGGCGGCCCAGCCAACGAGTGCGCGGAGCCCAGTTCCGCTCATTGACTCGGCCGTCTCGCGCCAAATAATCTCGCCTCTGATTGTTTTTCGTTGATAACTCGTAAACGAAGCCGCGGATTGCATTTTCGCTAAGGAAAAAGTTGCTTCAAATCACCTCGGGAATCTCCTCCTTTCGGATTGCGAGACATTTTTGGTACATCCTGTATATGAGCCGTTTATTTTGAAAGTGGCATAAGTCACTTTATTTATACTGAGAAAAATATCAGTATTCTGAGATAACAAATACAAGTAAATCTTCTCGAAAGTTAGCATCCATATTTTGAAACGTGTTAAAACGCAAACCCTTAGATATATCGACTTAAAAACAAAATGACTTATGCCACTTTCAAAATAAACGGCTCATATATTGGGAGAATCGATCTGTTAGATCTATTTGTAAATGATCCTGCGACGGCCGATCGGGTGGCTTGATACGCGCCCGACGACGATCAATTTACATCTGCATTTATTTTTCCTTCAGCTTCGATAACTATGCAGGAAGCATATGCGTAGACGGACAAGAATACGACATGACTCTGTGGGATACTTCTGGTCAAGAGGATTACGAAAGGATCAGGCCTCTATCCTATCCGAATGTGAGCGGGCTTTTTCACCGATGTTTCTTCTTATTTCCGTCCACTTTGATTTCAACATTGATTTACAATGATGTTTCCTGCTTTCATTTCAGACCGACTGCTTTTTAATCTGCTTTTCTGTGAATTCTCGTAATTCCTACGAGAATGTCGCGAACAAATGGCATCCAGAAATCAAGTATCACTGTCCAAACATACCCGTAGTTCTCGTCGGTAAATACTTTGAACTGTTCCTCGTTTGTTCCTAAAATTTATTCCTAAATTGTAATTTCGCTAATTGCTTATTATTGTGGTTTCAATGTGTTCCGAACAGGTACCAAGGGAGATCTTAGAAACACGGAAAACGTAGATTCGATTACCCTGAAAGACTGCAAGAAAATGAAGAGAAAAGTGAAGGCCTGTAAATACGTCGAATGTTCTGCGTTGAAACGCGAGAACTTGGATGAAGTTTTCATAGAAGCCATAAGAGCTGTCCTTAAGAAACCATCGAGAAAGCTTTGCTGTTTAGTTTAAGAATTAAATCGACGCCAATATTTATACCTTACGAATAGATAGAAATTAGCATCGAATCGAAATCAGTTTTATATATAGGAAATGTATACATTATTCCAAAGACTATGCTTTTTAAGTACTTTTCTCGATGCATGTTACAATGGAAGTTAATAAAAAGATATTAATTCCATTAATCGTTTGTCATGTACGAACATGTTGGTTTTACCTTCTTTGGATTAGGCATTCGACTACGTAACCGGCTCTGTCGTAGAACACGATCCTCTAGCTTTCGTTCGAGCTCGCAAAAAGATTAAACACATTTCAAATTTGACGCGCTTCGTTCAAGGGTCCGCACAGTGTTGTTACACACGCAGCGGCAAGACGTCCAAGCTGCTGAACCTAATTTATATATATATTAATATTATATATATATATTATACATTATTTTATATTATTTTTTTATTATTATTTATTTTATATTATTATATATATATGATATATATTATATATATAATATTATATATTATATTTATATATATTAAAATAACCTCGGGAAATGCACAATGGCGCCCTCTGGTGTTCCTCAGAGGTACTTCCAGTGGATAATTCGTCTACAAGCTTGAGCGTTTTGCCACTTCGTTTAATGGCGCTGAACGAAGCCTGAAACTTTCATTTGAAATTTCGTCGCAAGCCTGCTTCGACTAAGTGGTACATGTAAAACGGTTGGTAGTGTACTTTGCGAGGAAATTTATACGAATCTGCTGAAAGAAGACTGCTGCTCGATATTTGGCACCAGATACTTGGCGTTGTCGAATCAATGACATGTCTTTGCGGCATCTTGTAGCGGAACGTATTCGTCTGAAGAGGGCAGGTCGGTCGCACTCGTGTGGCAGATGTGGCAGCGCTGTAAGGTTTGGCCTAGATTTGGCGTGGGCAAGACGTTGGTGCCAAATTCGGGCGATTTGCGGAAACAGATGGCTCGGTACTCGGCACAAATTCATTACAAATTCAGGGCAAATTGCTGACTGGGGAGCTATACCGAGTTGAGTGAACTGACAATGTGACGTATGAGTCTAGACACGTAAATTAAGACATCCTCATATTATTATTATTATAAGGCTTATATCATAATAATATTATATTATAAATTATATTATAAATATAATAATAAATTAATATATTATATAATAATATATATTATAATTATAATAATAAATTAAATTATATATATAAATATAATAATAAAATATATATATATAGGATTATTATATTAGGATTCATCCTCATTCTACTCCTACTTCTCTACGTCTTGCGTCCTGCTCCCGCTACTGCGGCACCATCCAGCACCTGCACGAGCACCTGCATGATTTTCTTCCTCCCCATCCTCTCTAAGCTAAACCTAAGCTGGCGTGCATGTCACCAACATTTCACTGCGCTACCAGCGCCGCACAGATTTTTCAGAAAAAAAACGAGATATGACAGAGAGAGAAACGCAACAACGAAATCGAGCAGCTCTATGACTGTACGAGTATCCACTGACCACGCTTCGAATAAAGATACAGATAAAAGATGCAAATTTTATTCGACGCTACGAATAAATGCAATTAATCATTCGCACACGATTAAATGCTCGTAAAAAAATGCTTTTTTTACGCGAAAACTTGGAAAAAGTTTTCATAGAAGCCATAAGAGCTGTCCTTAAAAAATACGTTCGAATTTAAATTTACGTTCGAATAAAAATAAAATATCTTTTATTCGAATCGTTATTTAAATCGTTACTTTATCAAAATAATACCCAACTCTGCTGGTGTAGGTACTAGGGAACTTTTAGTGACATCGACAAAAACGAATGGTGGACAAAATTCTATATAAGATATCCCAAAATTTTGTTACTCCTTGAAAATGAGGAAGTTCCTGAGGTCCTTTGACGTAACTTTTCCCTTGGCACNAAATTAAGACATCCTCATATTATTATTATTATAAGGCTTATATCATAATAATATTATATTATAAATTATATTATAAATATAATAATAAATTAATATATTATATAATAATATATATTATAATTATAATAATAAATTAAATTATATATATAAATATAATAATAAAATATATATATATAGGATTATTATATTAGGATTCATCCTCATTCTACTCCTACTTCTCTACGTCTTGCGTCCTGCTCCCGCTACTGCGGCACCATCCAGCACCTGCACGAGCACCTGCATGATTTTCTTCCTCCCCATCCTCTCTAAGCTAAACCTAAGCTGGCGTGCATGTCACCAACATTTCACTGCGCTACCAGCGCCGCACAGATTTTTCAGAAAAAAAACGAGATATGACAGAGAGAGAAACGCAACAACGAAATCGAGCAGCTCTATGACTGTACGAGTATCCACTGACCACGCTTCGAATAAAGATACAGATAAAAGATGCAAATTTTATTCGACGCTACGAATAAATGCAATTAATCATTCGCACACGATTAAATGCTCGTAAAAAAATGCTTTTTTTACGCGAAAACTTGGAAAAAGTTTTCATAGAAGCCATAAGAGCTGTCCTTAAAAAATACGTTCGAATTTAAATTTACGTTCGAATAAAAATAAAATATCTTTTATTCGAATCGTTATTTAAATCGTTACTTTATCAAAATAATACCCAACTCTGCTGGTGTAGGTACTAGGGAACTTTTAGTGACATCGACAAAAACGAATGGTGGACAAAATTCTATATAAGATATCCCAAAATTTTGTTACTCCTTGAAAATGAGGAAGTTCCTGAGGTCCTTTGACGTAACTTTTCCCTTGGCACAAATGCAATCCGCGGCTTTGTTTACGAGTTATCAACGAAAAACAGTGACCAATGAGAGGCGAGAACAGCTGTCGTGAGACGGCCGAGCCAATGAGCGGAACTGGGCTTCGTTCGCTAGAATTTTGTCCATACAAATCCTTGTTTCAAATCCATGCTTGTACAAATTATTCTAGTACATAATGTATTTTTAATTTCTGTAGAAAGTACAAGTTCACACATTGAAACTTTGAAAGAATTTGAATATATTAAAGGCTGATACACAGATACATACTTTTCATTGATGGCACTGCCATCTATGCTTGTAAACATCACGTTATAGACGAGAGATGAGAGTGCTTGTTTTCGAATTGCATCTCAGGATATAGAATTTAGATAGGCAATTATTATTGTCGGTCCATTTTTGGCGTTCTATAATTCAAATAACAAATACATCATTTTACGTTGAATTGTTTGGCTGCTTGTTAAGATTTGTACTCAATCCTTTTAAGCTCCAAATTTCCATGTAACAACTACGAGATTTTGCGAATTGCGTTTAAAATAATCGTCGTTGTTAATTAATCTTGTTAAATAATACGCTGGGAATTTTGCATATACCGCCGATTTCATTTAATAATGAAAATTCATATCAGATGGCGTAGCAATTTGTATGCCACTTGAATACACAGGAGTTTCCAAGCCCTGCTTTGTCATGGACGTGCAAGCTTCTAATGGTTCGTACTTGTTTTCCTACGCTATGTGATATCTTCGCGCGTTAAATTGCATCGTAATTTATGATCCTGGAATTGAATACTTTACACAGGATATGGTGTATCTGCAAAGAGAAGCATTGCCTCTTGAAAAATGTATCCCAGTGGAAAAGGTTGAATAAATGTTGATTTACAAAGCTTCGGCGTCGCTTCGAGAAATAAATTCTATTAAGTTTCTTTGATACGTTAGATGATACAGGATGGCATATGAATACAATAACATCGATTTGAAAAGTCTTGCGTGGCTTATGCCACGAATTACGTAGATTTCCTAAATGGAATTTTTGCTTCCTGTACGAGGGGCACCTTCATCCAACGAGTGCTTTAATCTTATCGAAACCGATTTATTTCAATAAAGTTATTTTGTTCTGTGCCATACAGACTTTTCTTTTAATTTAACGGTTGCATTGTTCGACGCAACAAATCCTTAACATGCATAGTCTGATTAAAAGTAACAATGTAATCATTATGTGAATATAGGAATGGATATTTGTATGAATTCAGTGTATGCCTCCATCCCTGGATTACCAGAACTAGGGATGGTATGGATGGGCGATATGATGGTACACGGAGAACCCACTCATGAACTAATGTTGGATCCCCGTCAAGCTGAAAGTCCATTTTTCTCCCATGGCTCGAATCCGTACGAGGACATTAGAAATCATCAAATGGCACCCACTATGGTACGATATTTGCCACCACAATATTCTAACGAATGTTCAGAAGCGGACGAAGCTATGGAAGCTGTCGATGTTCAAGAAATACAACAAGTAAGTCATTTTATTTATTACATTTGATATCATTTATGTTACATTTGTATTTTACATACTGTTCTAATGTTATTTATATTTCTTTTTCAATAGGAGTACGACTCTCAATCCGAAAGGCAAGAAATGACAGATTATTTATCGTTAGAAGATTACATGGGCGATGAAGAAAGGGAGCAAGTTGTAACTAATGCAGCTACACAAACTACTCAGGACAATCGTAATAGAAAAATAAAACCTATAAAACATCCTGGACTTGTTTTAAAAACACCGATTGCTTATCAACCACATACAGATTTAAACTTTATTCCTATTCGTAAAGATGGTATAGGTAAGTCTTGATAGTTCGTTCACTTTTTCACAAATATTTCCAAGTAAGTATTCAAAAACAAATTTTTTTTAAACGTTTCCAAACATTTCTTACAAATCAAATCATTAATTGCAGCTGTTTGTGAAAAATGTGGTGCTATTGGCGTAAAGCATGCATTTTACACAAAAGAACGTAGATTTTGCAGTAGAGCGTGCGCAAGATCTTCAGAACACACTGCTCCCACTGCAGATTCTACGTATAGTCCATCTCATTCTGTAGAACCACCTACATCGGTAAATCCTACATCGCCGAACGAATCAAATACAGTGAAACAAGTAAGTTTTGTTCAAAAGAATATTATGAAAGAGTATCGTAATGATTTTCATTTTTAGACTTTAGTCAATGAAGAAACCGATGTAAACGAACAGATTGAACAAGAAAAAGATAAAGAAAAAGACGAAGGAAAAGAAAAAGTTATATCTGAACCAGTGATGCCAGAAGATTTACCTGTAAGAAGAAAAAGAACCGCCGAAATGGCAGGTTCTTACGATTGGACCCCGCAACTTGTGGAACCTGGATTTTGTGCTGCTCCAGTATCTTGTTTTAAACATGTCAGTTTTCAATGAAACAGGAATAACGGGAGAATAGTATATGACGTTAAATTGTTTTGAAGTCACAATGTTTCTTTCCTGTTTTAGGCTCCTATATCAGAAATATGGGATAATATAACAGTCGGTATGAAAGTTGAAGTTGAGAACACAGATTGCGATGAGGTATGCGAAGCTTTTCCGGATTCTTTTTGGGTCGCTACCGTATTGCGTATATCCGGATACAGAGCTTTATTAAGGTACGAAGGTTTCGGACTTAACGCTGATAAAGATTTCTGGGTATCATTATGCTCGAATGACATTCATCCAGTAGGCTGGTGTGCAACAATTGGAAAGCCATTGATTCCACCTAATAGTAAGTAAATTGAACTGAACATTTATTGACCTCTCGACGAAGCTCGATCAAGGGATTATCTCTGCAAAAACGCTTCAATTGGCAACTATATTAATTGTAATAATTTTTAACAGCGATTGCTAACAAATACAAAGACTGGAAAGATTTTCTAATGAGACGTTTAACCGGTGCAAGAACACTGCCAACTAATTTTTATAATAAAGTTAACGATAGTATGAAGTCGCGCTTCAGATGCGGACTTCATTTGGAGGTAGTAGATAAAAATAGAATCTCCCAGGTAAAAGTAGCAACGATACAGAAGATTGTTGGGAAACGTTTACACGTAAGATACTATGACTCGCCACCCGAAGACAATGGTTTTTGGTGCCACGAAGATTCTCCCCTTATACATCCTGTTGGCTGGGCCAAGAGGGTAGGGCAGACGTTAGATGCGTATCCTGAGTATTTGGATCGTGTCTCGAAATCAAAACTATGCGAAGACGATTCCACAGAAGATCTTTTTTATGTGCCAAAGAACCATCATTTGCACCTCTGTTATACATTCAGGGAAGGAATGAAAATAGAAGCCATTGATCCGCTTAATCTTTCGGCCATATGCGCGGCAACGGTTATGCAAGTTTTAAAGGAAGACTACATAATGATTCGTATAGATAGTTACGACGAGGATGCGAGTGGTGCTGATTGGTTCTGTTATCATTCATGTTCACCTTGTATTTTTCCAATCGGATTTTGTTCACAACATGGTTTACCGCTTACACCACCAAAGGGCTACGATCCTACTACATTCACATGGGATGCATATTTAACAGAGACGAATACTATACCGGCTCCTGTGCAATTATTTAATAGGGTAATCATACAGATTTCGTTATGCACTGACTAAATGGAAGTAAAATGGATGTTTCGCTTTAAACAACGGTTACATTTATAGGAAATACCTCAACACGGTTTTATTGAGGGAATGAGGCTCGAAGCTGCCGATTTGATGGATCCTAGATTAGTTTGCGTTGCTACTATTACTAGGGTGATCGGAAGGTTATTAAGAGTACACTTCGATGGTTGGGAAGACGAGTACGACCAATGGTTAGATTGTCAGAGTCCCGACATTTATCCAGTTGGGTGGTGCGATCTGGTCGATCATAAACTAGAAGGGCCCCGTGTACTCACTAAAAACACTAGTCCTACTGGTAAATAAAAGCAAAAACGTTTGCTATGTATTTCAATTATTTTTCACATTAATGATTCCTTGGTTTTATTTACATTACCATCTGAATACTTAGTAAAATCACCAAGAGGCCTTAAACGTAAAGCTAAGAGAAAGTTGAAGAAAAGCAGCAAAATATCCTGCGCGAAAAACATTCTACCTCGGCACAGCGAACGTATTAGCATGGCTCGTGAACGTGAACGAGAATTAGAGCCAGCTCAAGGGGTAAAGATTGAAAGAGAACGCGACGTGGAAAGCTTACCAGAACAAAGGAATAGAGAACCGGAGCCGGCAGAAGAGCCTGCTGGTCCTGATCAAACATTACCCAGTCCTACCACGGGACAAGGTCAAGCGCTAAATGATACTCAAAGTGAAATACAAAGTCCTCCGCCGCCGAAAGAAAGAACTGCGACATCGTATATCAATGTGAGTAATACCTACGTATTTTATAACCGTAATATACTAAAACGAAGGTAGCTATAAGTACATATACTTTGGCTCAATGTGCAATTAATTTTCTGAATATCTATAATTTTTTTTTTTTTGTAAGGTTTACCGTGTTACATTATCATGAAAAATGATAAATATTATTTTCAGAATATACTAATTGATATAAAGTTTTTGACAAGTATACATCAAATTATACTAAAATTCCAGCAATGTATTAGCAACATTAATTGTTTCTTAGGTGACGTCTGCCTCTAGTAAATACATCCCAAGGCTAGCAGATGGTGTTCAGAAAAGTTCTGAGTCTGGTGATTTAGTGCCATCTGAATGGAATGTGTTTGATGTTGCACAATTCCTTCGTGTTAATGATTGTGCAACATATTGCGATAATTTTAGTAAACGTAAAATAGATGGGAAAACTTTGTTGACGCTCACTAAGGACCAAATAATAGACCTGACAGGTTTCAAAGTTGGGCCTTCCTTAAAAATATATGATCTTATTCAGCAATTAAAAATCAAAGTGAATCCAGCTCAGGAAAGATTGAAATTAGGAATGAAAAAATTATTATAACAAAGCTAGTATGTAGTTAATACGCTGAATAAGTTCCATCATTGCATAGAAATAAACATGGATTTACAGGTAAGGCAGGTAGATTCAAGTAACATGAAATTCGCGTTCAATGATGGTCATGTACACATCGTTTGTTATATGCTTTATTAATATACTAATATATGTATGTATAGACGTATAAAAAAAGAAAGAGAAAGTTAAAGATGAAGGTATTGTATTACGAGTCGAGATATAACAGCATTAATTTAAACACAAAAGGATTATTTCGTTTTGGGGGACAATAAGAGAAATTACAAGATATAATTGAATTGTTCCTCGGAAAATCTGATTTTAACGACTCAATTTTTATTCCTTTTTAAACAACAGTAGTATAAGAACAATAATAAGAGATTATAATGGTCATTAGTAACCTGAAATGATTAAATGATGAGGATATAATTACAAGAACTACCAATAACGAATACAAACCGAGAGCTCCTTAAAATCAGACTTTGCATGAAATTGGCACAAATGTTTCTAAAAAACTTGATTTTGTCAATTCATTGAAACAGTATTTAATTGGATTATTTTTTAATAAATATCTTTGGATTGGATTATCTTTTAATAAACATCTTAATAATGGGTGCTTGTATTTATTGATACATTACACGACATATATTATAATCATGATAAACGTATTAAAAAAATAATAAAAGAATTATTTTAATACTTTATACTGAATAGGCACATTCCAGAACGAATTGATCCGAATTAATTTGTAATATCACACGTATTGTACAATGCTAATATTCAGAAAAGTGAGCAATCAAAATTGACTACACAGTGATCGAAGGTATTAATGGAACTGCTTGCATACATGATCCATTTATACATTTTCATAAATGTCAATATGAGAGACGAATTCCGTTATTCGCTTCAAACATTTCTTCGGAGAGCCGATATTTGTAAATCCATGCTTTCATGTTGCACGAAATTGTCTGCAGATGCATGAACCACGTTTGAAAATTGACTAATGTATATTTAACAACCTTCTTTTTTCTTAAGGAAACTGGAATTAAAAGCATGTAATTTAAAACCGAAAATCGAGGGAGTAAATCGACAAACAGTTATTAAAATAGAAAGTAAAAATATAGTAAAGTACAAACTATCTCTTGGATATCGATTCATTACAGTTCTAATCACGTTTGCCTTAATGATGCAATTCACGATATTAAAATAGTTTTATATGTTTTAATAAATTTGTTGATTTACTCTCTGCTACAAAGAACCAGTACACTCATGTACATAATTAAAGAAAACAAAGTAGTCGATTTTTAATCTTGTAAATATAGCATTTAACACAATATTAGGTATAGTTAATTTTTTTTTTGAAGTAAAAGAAAACTGATGGGAACGTCATTACAATGTACAAGAAAGATAACTGTTAGAAAGTGGTTGATGCATTTGCATATCAGTTATTGTATCTATATCTAGCTTTATAACACTTACAATAAATCAAACCAGTCGGACAGTGTCTAAGACTAATTCGTCTTAGGCTGTTTAAATACCTACTATTTTTAGTATGACGGAGTCACGTGGTTACTCTTCTTATTTATTCAATGTTTTGGAATCTCAATAGGTACTAATTTGTACCTTACATTTTTTAGTAATTAGTTTTTAGAACGTAGGATGCAAAAGATTCGATCAGGAATCTATGTATATTTTATCGAGCCATTCATATCAGATTTCTTTTTGTACAATGAAACATCTCCTTCGATTCGCATTGGTACGCAGTTTCACGCAAACAGTCTATGAAATTTGTTAATTCGGGGAATATTAGATAACTGTAACTACTGATCCACAAGAAAAAAATAGCAACCTTTATTAATCCATTAGTGTGTACAAATTGGGAGGCATTATAAATAGTATTACAGTTACAAATTTAAAAAGAATATTTGCATTTTGCTTTAGGAACCCTAATCGCAAACTATCAGTACAAAAAAAATATACAATGTCAATGTCATAAATATGATGCAGATTATAGCAAATTTTTACATGTTACTCGATTAAGTTTTAGATTTAAAATGGGATAACGTCCAATCTAAAACTCATTTATACAGATTTAATTTTCATGATTAAAAAAACAAAGTTAATTCTATGTATCTGATTATAAGTGGTAATATCTACGCGTTTGCCCGAGTCTCTACATAAATTACCGGATGTTTCTATAAGATGGAATAACTATGTTTGCAATTTTCTTTAAATCGAATATTATTGTAAAATATTCATCGGCCATTTTACACGAAGTTACTGACAAGAATCATTTATTGTTTCACATTTATATAAATATAGCTCATTCGTTCGCATTAAGCACAAATGAAATTTATACTTCTATTTTCGCAAATCCATTGTTTAGATTTCCACTAGGTTTTCCGGATTAATGAATAACGAACAGAGATACATGTACCTATATGTTGTTTCCGGTTTGCTTAACTGCATTTAAGACGTATTCATAGTTCTCCCTTCTAAACGTTTAATTATGCTACTTTCGTACATTGAACAATGTAATATATTATCCATCTAAAGAAATGCCGCAAACAGTAACTATGAATACAGTCTCCAAATATTATTTTTTAGCCTGTCACTATATTGAAATAAACGAAATGCTACTGTGCCGTTGATGATCACAACAGTATTTATCTATAACGATAAGTTTAAAAGGAAAAACAACTCTTTTTTTCCTCTCTTTTTATTTGTAAGTTTGTCACACATCATATATTTGTTTTATAGAAGTAAAGAGAGAATGATTAAAAAAATAAATGTTTTTTCACATACATTGTAAAAAAAAAATGCAAATAATGATGGAAGTACATTGTTTATAGTAAATCAACCGAGTGTATTTCAGTTGCCGTTCCGTTCATTTCACCGAGTACCACAATCGACGGACAGATGGCATCAACTGCAAGATTTTCTACAATTTATTGATTCAAGCAAGGAAAGTTACTCATGAACGTACACGAGCAAAATTTTTTTAATCGTTGATAGGTGTAAGAAGATGGAATTCAATTTCGATAGATCGCAGCTACTATTCGAGGATACTTTTGAAAGCTGAAACGTCTTAAGTCTATACAGAACAAACAAACCATTACGAGAAAAAAAACTACAACAAACAAATTGGCGTGGAATAGCTAGATCGATAGACGTTACAACAAAAATTTTCATATTTCTTTTAGTAACCATATTATCGTGCAAAGAGCGCCGCATAGACCGCAAAGCTAGAGAATCAAAAACCATGCGATGTCTGAGCGAACATAATGAATTAGGATCGCTCGGAATCGTTCGCATAACAAATAGTTCACGCTTTATTTGAGAATCGAAACAAATAGATATTGCTCGAAGAAAGAGTTCGATGGAACGAGCAATAAACGGGACACGAACGAATTTTCAGCATTCCGAATCGCTTGCCTTCTGTGTCACGTTGGTACCTTTCTGCCATTCATTTTGTGACGCATTTGTGTTGGAATATGCGCGACAGACAGACTAGTTAAGATGTGCATATCCTACGCGCAGGGAAGCAACGAATTTTTATTGTGAACTTTCGTGTCGTGTAACATTGCGCGGAGAGCTCGATGAAGGACCAGGATAGAAGTCTCGCGTGTATGTGCGCGCCGATGCCGCGCGGTCATAGACATACAGATGGTCGGCTTGCTCGATGTGTGGGTTTAGACTCGCGCAGGTGGGGGAAGTGAGGAGACTGGCGTATTCCATGGGCGGGGCCTCTGCCAGCTGGCAGATGTTTCCCGCGCGGCCGCACCATTCCTCTAGCGTAAACCTACGCGACGCGAAAGTAGTTCCCCGAAACGCGTTAAATATTTCTAACAATAGTTCGCCAAGGAGGCGGCTCGGTATATCGGTGAATCCGATAGAAAGCGACGGACAACCTGCGCGCAACTACCTGCAGAAAATTGCGAAAACTCGATGTGAAAGCGAAGATGAGCTGGTGCGGGATTGGTCCAAAGAGAGTCGTTGTCCAGGGCAGAGTACCGCGTATCGTTCACCCTAACCGCGTACATTAAACTTTCCGCGAGTGCCGAGAGAATGTTTCTCGACCGTTCGACAACGTGAATCTTTGCGTACGTCACAAACCCGTGTGCCCGCGAGAGGATTCACGTCGCAGTTCCTTCTCTTCAACCAATAGAAAACTGATGCTACGCGATTCATCGTACGCGATCGTACACGCATATTCGTATCCTGCCGTCGTGTGGTGCGGGAGTGTTATTTCCATCGATAAAGAGTGCCGGACGATAACGTGTAGTATGTGCCGCCACGTGATGGTCCCGTCGCCATGTGTACGTGAACCAATATTCCCCGTGACAACAAAATTCATTGGACGATTCGTTTCGGACGTGTAGCCTTACCAGCACGGTGCAGAATTATATAAACATAACCGAGCATTTTGCCGAGAGAATCCACGCGATCGTTCCGTTTAAGTAAACGTTCGCATCGAAGGATATCGCGTTCAGGATAAAATAGAACTCTTGGCTGGCCGCGTCGGTCGTATCGTCGACGCAAAATCGATAAACGAAGTAAATAAATTGTGTTTCGAATCGGGCAAATCGTTCGAGGAAAAGTTGGACTGGAGAGTGAAGGGTGTCGCGTGGAAGAGTAGTGATTCGGGAGGGGGCGCCTGGCGAACCCCCAGATTATGACAGCCCTGAAGCCGGCGGCGGAGTGATTCGCGGTACGCTGTGGGGGCCCTCAGCTGTTTCCCGCCAAAGATCGCCATTACAAAACGCGTTCGGGCGTTGTGTGTGCGCCGCGCGGAGTGGCTGTCCCGTGGACGAATCTCGGTGCGTGCCATCATCGCGGTCGAAAAAAAGAAAACGAAAATATTTAATCAGGAGTTTCCGTCGAGTATCCGCGTCGCAAAACGGCGTGAGGTGTGCGCGTTGTTTTCCGGTGGAGTGTGTGAAAAGCTCGTCGTCTTGTTCGCTGCCGCGACGACGGCTGCCGAGACGTGGGATCGCGCGGCGGGATTCTTAGTGCTACGGACCATCGAGATATGTCAGTGTTTGGTTGTGAGGATCGTATTTTGCTCGAAGAAATTGTCGAAGCCGCCGAGGAGCAGGAAACGAATTTGTGCGGGTAAGTCGTTCGCCTTTTTTCTCGCGACAGCGAGAAAGAAATTTGCTCGCGGTCGCGACACACACGACGGCGGCGGCGGATATAGTTCGCGTACGTCGGCGGACGGGAAATCCGTTCGCAAGTTGCATACGCGGTACCGAGTTCGCGAGCACGTCAGCGTACAATGTATAGAACCAGCACGGCGGATCGCCGTGCCACGTCATTTGTGACTTCAAATATGTACATACGTATACTCGGCGCGTATAAGTATATAGCATAACGCGAGGAACGCGGACTCTTGCCGCCGTGACGGTACGAATTCGTCGGCGAAGGAAGGCGTGCTCGCCCCCCTTATCGAGTCACGTTGATTACGAGCGTATCAACGTTCATCTCTTCTTCTTCTTCTTCTTATTCTCTTTCTTTGCGTTACCTCGTCGAATCGACATAATCGTAGTCTCGACTGTAGTCGGTAACCGTCGCGCCGCAGTTGCTATTAAAGTTATCGTTATTGAACCCGTCGCCGCGATTCCCCCCTTCTAATCGTGACGTGAGCGTAAAAACGTGCGCACATACGCAAACAAAATCTAGTTTACCCTCAATAGCCAGCTGTCGTGATGCCGGCCGGCCGGCAGGCAGGCACCGCCGAACGCGACCGGCCGGCACAATAGCCTTCGTCTCTTTCATTTTATATGTCGCGATACCGCGGCACTCCTTCGTTCGAGCCGGTTCGAATTTTCTTCGTTTCCAATTTATTTTCGAACCTCTCGCATCGCCTCGTCGCGGTTTTTCTATTTTTACGCGACCAAACGATGCTCGTGCGCCGACTTGAATCGACTCGTAGACACCATGCGTTCACGCCCAAACAAGCATGGCGCGAGAGCGAAACTGGTCGAAGTAGTATATGCACTGTCGCTTCGAAGTGTACGGGCGATCGTAATTTTCTCGGTGTCCGTCGTACGTGAAATATGAATTATCGTCGTTAAACTTGTCGACAAATCCTTTTAGCAGTGTTTTACAATCGATAAGTTTGTTTTATTAAAGTATGTACTTTAATTGTTCGGCAAATATAGATTGCGAATACAGTGAAAAACGAGATATGCCCGATACGAAAGAAAATGTAATTAGTTTTAAGTTATTTCTGTTCAGACATGATACGTGGAAAGCTGGTTGTACATATATATTACATACGTGTATGTACCGAATTTGAATATTGTGCTTCAGTTTATCATTTTTGAAGTTCTCTTTATACAAATTCGATTTATTACCAATTATCTATTTCTTTTTTTTTGCGGTTTTGCACTACTTCGCCTAATTTTGGACAACTGATTTTTTTGTTCAACAAAACGTTTCGAAATCAAGAATAATTCCGCGGTGATATTTTACCGGTTTTCTGTACATATTATATATTATACAGTGGTCGTTGAAATTGTGGTTTTATACTTTAAAAGTAAATATATTTTTCGATCTCGTCGTAAAAATTCGGGCGTGGGAAATTCAATAAACATTTTACATAAAGTCCCTTTATCGGTTTCTATCGATATTCCTCGGTTAGATATTTTCGGATCGAAGAATTTCTATGGTAAACGGCATCGGTGTCTAGAATATATCATACCGGTTTTCTGCGAGGACTCCGCCGGTAAACGGTCTCTCGGCCGAGCACCCGTGGTCGCGATTAATCGTTTCTCGGAATGTTATCTGCAAGTTGTCTAAGTCTAAATAGGCTTGGAATGCATGCACGACGCTCTCTCGGTTTGTATCTCTCGGCTCTGTACACTGGTTTCGTTGGTTTCCCTCGCGACCAAGCGCCGCGCCGGGCTGCTGTATCACGGTCACGATACGATTGAAATCGCTCCGAGGAAAAAGTACACACCGGGTCTCCGCAGCATCGAGAACAAATCCGTGCGCATACACTGCCCAATGCTCCGTTTCCATGCCGCTACCTTTCTCGTTTTTCTTAACACTGAACCCGCCGAGCAGTAATACTAACTGGCCATGTACTGCTTCGCAAAAGTGAGAAGACCGAATTTATTTGGAATTTGAAAGGTTTGGAAATTGTAAAGACCTGCACCGATAATATATATAATAATAATAATAATAATATTAATAATATAATAATAATAATATTAATAATGATAAATTAATAAATATAAATAAATTAATAATATAATAATAATATATAATATTCAAGCGAAAGAGTCTCGGAACTTTGAAATAATACTAATAACGTTTAATAACTTTTAGAACTTTTTAATAATAATAATATATAATATTCCACGAAAGAGTCTCGGAACTTTGCAGGATTGCAAAATAAGAAAGCGATCACTTCGACCGCGATAGGTTTAGCGTTAATAAACCATATAATGACCGTTTTCCCGACTTTTATCTTGAATTTTCAATCCATTCACGTGCTACACGAATTTACAAATACAGAATCTAAAAGGTGTACTCCCAATTTGCGTAACAGTGCAACGCACCGATTATATTCTATCGAACCGATTCTGTTGCATCAGAACGTAGCAAGTGTATCAATACGAACCGTGCATTAGTTACGATCTGCTAAGTGCACGCTGACGCACATGTAAACAAATATTAAGGATCGATATTGACATCTAAAAATAGACTTCCAACGTACTTGTAGATAAACCGATATAATATAAGTACACATTGTAGCGTGTATCGATCACCGTGCCCGTAAAATGTTAGAAAATAGTTACGTCTCTCTTGATTCGATCCCATTCGTCGGTTGCATAGAATCTTTCGTTTAAC